GTCGAAGTAGGTAATCTTATTCTTTTCAGTTTTTTGATGTGGTTTACTTTTTAGAGGTTATAATATATCTTTATTTTTTTACTTAAAATTTTTTATTTAATATCTTTTAGTTCATGGTACATTGCCTCTTTTAACGAAATGATAAATTAATATAATTATCTTGAAAATATATAGGTATTTGACGCTTTTGAGTGAACTCGGCAATATCACAAGCGTCAGGTGGTAATAATTAGAATATCGTCGTCGTAATTACGAAAAAACATCATCCCCTCTCATAAGGGGACGTCTATTAATTACGTTAGTGTTTGGGGGAGGGGGAGGCGATGGAGCCGCATCTCACCTAATCTCACATGGGGCAGAGGGAGGGTCTCGGCAAATATCAAGAAATTTTTTCGACAAGAAACAGTGTGATTTTGAGAAAGTTAGAACGTGTAACGTATTTAGTTTACGCTAAAAATACACATTTTTGAAAAATCTCACATGAGATTTGGGGGAGTGAGGGGTCGAGCCATATCTCACGACATCTCACCAAGGGGAAAGGGGAAGTAGAAAAATCGCCAAAATCATCTCACGTAATTACTTAATAAACCATTTTGTATTAAATAAGTGACATTTTAAAAACACAACATTAAAATCTACTACGTTTTGTTTTACTTATTATTTTGATTTACTTATTTAGACTTATTCATGAAAGTTCCATAGAAATAAGTATGTCTGATGTAAGGGGAAAAATATTGGGATTAGTAGGTACCTACTAATCTAAACTTTGTTTGGCGATTTATAAACCTTATAATTATAATCATAAAAATTTACATTATTATAGTTTGTGATTATCCTCCTTACAAAAAAAACGGAATCTTGAGTGACAGCCAGGATTTAAAAATTAGAAACATCGGAGAAAAAAGTAGGAGGTGCTCCTTAAACTACCTAAGACACATTTTTATTTTAATTGCTTTGATATGGAAATTCGCGTAGTAACTATTGATTCTAATAATTAAATTATTAATTAGATAAATACTAATACAGTACGTTGGTACCTACTATATTAGTATGTAAAAAAAATTACAATAGAGGAATTCTTATCCAGAATTTATGTCGCATTGAAAATAAACCTTTCTGTATATTTAAAAACTACATTGACAAAATTTATAAAAAAAATCCTAAAAGAACATACCTCTGACTGAAATTATTTTATAACGTTCTACATAAAAAATGTTATTAGGTATATAATTATCATAGCTGACCCATATAGCCTAATTGTCGTTGAACAATTTGTGACATTATCACTGTGTTAACATTGCATGTGCAAACACAAAAATAAGTTTTAAATGTAGGCGTAGCATTAAAAAACGCTAAGTTACCTTAAAAAGCACAAATCATTAATTTCTAATAATTTCACTTGTACAACTTATAAATATTATGATACAAAATATATTTATTACAAACAATAATTTATTGTTTTATACAAACAAAATTAACGTTTTTATAGTATGCGATTGTTACGACATCTAGCGCCACAGACAGCAATCGACCGAGTAAACAAGTAAAGATAAAAGAAATGTCAGTTGCTCAGCTGATCGGCACGCGCGCGGCATCTTTATTTCTATAGAGCACCCAAGACCTTTCTGACGGAAGAACACGATTATAAATTTATAAATAGTTCTGAGCACATTTGGCCCACTCTCTCACACACACCCGAACAACGCTTAAATAATATAGGACGTTACCCTTTTTAACGCCGTATTCTTGATATTCTGCAGCTCATTCTTAATAATGGAAAATTTCATCATTGTATCCGAAGAAAATATGGAACTTCCAAAAGCAAGACCGGGATAATCGGCACATCTTCTTCTGCGACGATTTTCTCTTGCTGCGAGAACTTCGGTACATTCGCTAGGACACCTAAGTTTTGCTAGTTCCGCGGTTTCTAGGTCGTCGTCAGAAATATCAGTTGAGGCCACGATAATTTCGGCTCCGTCACCAGCCGACCGTTCCTCTTTTAACGAATAGTCATCGTCTGAACTACCGTTTGATTCTGCACCAATAACTCTAACATCAAAGTCAATTTCATCATTAATATTCGAGTCCTCGATTATATTTCGATTCGAAAGTGCGTCGTCACTATTCGTCCTTGTCAGTTCTTGAGATTCACTTACACTATTGACACAAGGCACTACATCGTCTGTTTGAAAGTCTAAGGTCACTTGTTTGGACGGAGTTGTGTTTGCGGAGGCTCCGGGGGCGGGTACACGGTCGCCCCTCAGCCGCGGGTGATGTTGGTGCCCCCTGCGCCGCACGGGGGTGCGCCCGTGGGCGTGGGGCGCGGAAGTGGACATCACTGCACTCCGCACAATCCGTCCGGCCGCGCAGAAGCGACCGCCATGTTGACTGAACTGACTGTCGTTTTCGTAATTTCGTTCATAAACGTAAACAAACGTGGCGCTGCAGTCGCTGCTAGTCCGCCATCTTTGTTTTAAATTATCAAGTCGAGGACTGCTTTACCAACAGAGAACTTTTTATTTCTTTACACATAACGCGGCAATTATTAAAATTTCAATAATTATTGAATGAATTTTTGTAAGTATGATTGTATTTTGTTTGAAATTCTAATTAACAATATAGTAATTAATAAAAATGTTTTCAAAATGTTTTTTATATATATATTAAATAGCATTTGTGTAGACAAAACCGTCAACTATGTAATGGAAAAATATTTTTTTTATATACAAATGACTTTTCAGTTTTACAAATTATAATTAAAAATGCTTTTAAAAATATTGCAGTTGTATATTAATTTAACAAAACGCGTGTAATATTACAAGTTTGTCGATGAGGTGAGCGAGAATCTAATTTTAACGGAACACTGGGCAACGGTCCCATATTAGGTGGTGGGCGCCGAAAATAACTACGGCAGCGCACGCAACAGACGGCAGAAATCCCCCGTATCCATTTTGTTGCAGATATAAGAATTGTTAGAAGAAATGCAAATGTAAGAGTTTGTATTATATTTCAAACACTATTAATTTATAAATATAATTTTATATACCTACCTAGTAAATCTAAATATTCATGGGCTTATTATACCTACGTCCATGTAAATTTAATTTAAAATAAAAGCACGATACGCTACTCACAAATGAATGTAAGTAAAAGATTGTAATGTAGGTACTTTCTTTCAATTAATTACTACGGATTCATAATTAGATAGGTACATACAATTTTTTTTTGTCGTGGTATAAAGTCGGGTTCGATCCTCGCCTACATTAATTAAATTGCTAATTGCTATTTTATATACCCAAAAAAAAAAACGATCGCGAGGAAACTTGCATCTGAGAAACAACAATATTTCGTAAATATATGAAGTAAAAAAATGATTGCGAAGGCATGTGAAGTCTGTCACAGGAACTTAAATGTCTACGCAAATATGTAGGTAGGTACCTAGGTATGTCTCGTAATTCAACTCGAGATCAACTTCTATTTCAACTGTTGCTATCAGAAACTTTAGATCATAATATTATAATTTATAATGTCTCTAATGTAGATTCCAATATTCAAAACATGCTTCGTTCTCCATTACTATCCATTTGATTATGTTCGAAGTGCATGCCTATAAAACCATTTATTTATCAAAATCTTATAATAAACCAATCGTCATAGTGGTCATAGTACGTGTCCACAGTAATATTTTGTTTTATTATTATATACTTTCCGCCTTGTCGAAGTAATCGTAACGGACACGATACGAAACTTGTTAAAATATACAAACATAGGGACGTATAAGTCGGAAACATTATTTACATCTAAAGTAACTTATTGCTGTATTATTGCGAAATTAATAAATCTATTTTTTTTTAAATAAAGGAACTAAAAAAGATTACTTAATAAAAGAGATAATAAACTAGTAGGCACGTCTCGGTTACATTCACACCTTTTTATACATGGTAGAGCCATGTTGCAGCTCTACATTATGGTTGTAGCACGCATGGGTCTGCTCGATAGGGGTAGGACCACGCTCTCGCATAATAGTACTAGCGTAAAATAGCAGCTTAATGCTGCTGCTGTGTTTCGAATGATGAGTATAAAGAACCGGAGACCCTTTTTACTTGATACAAGACTACAGTGACAACGCATCTGCATTTTCGTTCTTATTTGAGGATAGATGTAGATGTCTATGGGCCACGGCATCCACTTACCATCAGGTGGACAGTGTGCTCGTTTGTCACCCTTATTCTATAAAAAAAACACATCGACGCCCTACTACGGTTTGCACACAATCTATGAAATATATTTTTACACACATTTGAATAGAACCTATTTTAACTTATCTATATAAAATTATCTACAGACTACGGTGAAGCGAGAGAGATGTTGCATTCTAACGTTGTGCAAAATATAAAGATTTAATGAATGCAAACTTAGCTCTAACCAGTTGTATATGTAATTGTACGTAGAAAAAAAACAGAAGTATATTTCTATAAAGTAAGTACAAGAAAACGTTTGTTATGTGTACGACAAAAAATGTGTAATCAGTATGTGCTATGTATGTTCACTGCAGTAAGCGTGAACTTATAGGTTACTGTCAGACATATTTTGTGATTCTTACTTTCATGTGTATGATAAACAGTCACTATTTTTCATTATAGGAAATAATTGAAATAACGTATAGTCAAGCCAATTTAAGGATAAATATATATAAATAATTTTGATCTTACAGACTGGTTAAATCTCACTAACTGATAATATTTTATTTATTCTTTATTTATTGTTATCACCTTAAAGGCTTACAAACTTACTAACTTACTATAGGCGCACTTAAAACCTTGTGGCATTCTCTGCCAGTCAGGAGAAAAAATGATTGCACGTGCAGACTTCGATGAAAACAAAAGAAACAAACAATATCTATAACATTTACTCGTAATTACATGTCCTGTCACGATGATAGTTACTTTATTTCATCTTTAACTATACGACGTATATATATATATATATCAAATACTTACGTTTTGTAGGGCCTTCTCCTTCTCTTCAAGCTTGCCGTTGACCTGCATAAGAGACTCTTGTGTCTGGTCGAGTTCGTTCTCAATAGTCTGGATTTTCTTCTGGAGCTGTCTAGCCTCTTCTTCTGCCTACATAATGAAAATTATTTTTTGAAAAAGTAGCCAAATTGTAAACGTATGTTCAAAAATATAAATAACGACATACCGTTGTTGAGTTTTAAAGATATATCGAGTAATAAGGCTTCCACTATTATTTGAAGTTATCCCATATTGAATGTGATTTATGAGCAACAGTTAAAATAATGCATAACCGCCTATTTTGAATTTAAAAAAATAAAAGGGACAGAATGTTTGAGATGTGTTTTAATTAATTTTTCTTCACCATTTACCTATATTACTTGTTCTGAATTTTTTCTACAAATTTGGCCGTTTAGTGCAGTGTGCATTATTATATATAAGCAATGTAGTGGTAACATAAGAGAATCTATCGCCCCATTTGCTCCCGTAGCTGTCATAAGATATGCCACAAAGATCTTGTAAGTCAATAGATAGCGATATAATACCCAGACTGACGCTAGGTAGGGCAATAGCAACGAAGGTGAAAATTGGCTGATATCTATTACGATCGGCACCAAGCGTGACGAAGGCACATCCAGGCTACAGCGGGAGATGCTCGTGACTTTTCGAGACTAACAGTGTGACGAAGAAGAAGAAAAAAATACTTAATCTAATATAACTAATAACTGAAGTTTTGTTAATTGTATGTTTATTTACTGAAAAAGATATTGGGTAACCACACAAATATTTGTTTCACCAAATGTTCGCTTATATACCTAAGTATTTTAAGCAGCCTTAAATTTATTTCTGCCCACAAGCAGTAACTTCGAGAGCAAACCGGGTTCGTTCCCCGCCGGCACACAATAAAATTGTTAATTGTAATTTTAAGTGCTGATTTACCACGTGCTCGGAGGTAAAAGAAAACATTGTGAGCAAACCTGCATGTCTGAGAAAAAAATCGAAGACATGTGAAGCTCGCCAACACGCATTGGGGCAGCGCGGCGGACACTTCCTTGCCCTAATACCCTCTCAAAAATGAGGGGAGGCCTGTGCCCAGCAGTGGGACGTATATATAGACTGTAACTAACTAACTAACAAGCAGTGCACTGTTGATGTATTCCGGTTTGAATGGTCTAGAACCAGTGTAACACAGGCTGTGAAGCATTTGATCTTAGCTGACGAGTACAGAGTTTACAACGTATCTGTGCCCTTTTTTGATTAAAATTTCAGAGGGCACGGCCATTAGGTAAGTAATTAGTTCGTTGGTTACTCCAATATTAGAAAAATTATACCCAAAGTTATTGATAGTATAATCAAATATTAAAAAGGTGCAATCATATTCATCACTGCAATTGCATTAGTTGCCGAGGCCGCAGTGACGATAATTAACTTTGTGTTTCAATGTTTAAAAATTTTGTTTATGTACTTAATGCGTTTAATTCGAAAATTAACCCATAATCTCCTTGCACATTTGGTTAAAAATAAGTACTGTAAAAAGTATTAACAATCACTCAAGGACCCAAGGTCGAGCTACGGAATGTTATTGGAATGCAAAATAAATCTTAGAGACCGTAGCAGGGACCGAGCAGTTGAACTTACTTGGCAACTATTCTAAGATGCAAGAAAATAAGTGTCTGTAAAATTGATAAACATTTATCATAATTGAAATTTTTATCCTGCTCATTGAAATACACCGTTTTTCAACTCAATAACTTAACTCAATTTAAAATTATGAATTCAATCAATTAAAACGATTAGTGAATACAAAACACTGCGATCAAAAATTCAAAAACCTGGTTCTGTTATCACCTTGCGTTCACTGTTATCTTTAAAAATTCTGTGATCAGAATTTTGCAAGTTATTATCTAATATCTAAAGGCCTAGTGCTTTGCTAAAGGTCTGGATGTGTACCTTCTCAGCGCGAAGGTTGGCGTCCTTGGCCTCTTGCTCGCACATTGCAGCACGGTCAAGGGCGTTGTCCTTCTCCAGCTTCATCGCCTGCATCTTCTTCTTGATCGCGTCCATGGTGGCGGCTTTGTTTCTTCACTTTCCTAGACGTAAATCTGAAATAAAAACACATTTTTTACACAACTGCAATACAAAAATTTATATATTTATCTTAAATGGATAAACTTATTTTATCCATATAAGTTTCTAATGTAGGCAACAAAGATATTGTTCAAAGTGTATTTATGTAATCGTGTTGGAACATTATCATGACAAAATGGGAAACAATACGGTAAGTAAAACGCAAAATGCAAATTAAGAGACATCTAAAAATCTACATTGTCGATAGAGTGCACAAAACTTAAAAATGTGTAGAGTTTCTCGCTATATATGGACCCGAGTGTGCATTGATTGATCTTTAAACTACTAGAAGACTTAAACCAACGCAATTGAACGTCGTAATGATAATTAAAAGGTTACTCCATTGCTCTTAATATTATGTGAATTATGTCTAACAAGGTAAAATTATAAAATTTTGTATAACCGACTTCAATACAAATAAAATGAGAACATCGTCAGATCAGTCGAAATCAATTACATACGCATTATTAAGGATAACTCAATAACTACTTGTCAGATCTCGATCATCTCCTTTTTTAAGTCGGTTCAAATACATGTTATTCGAGGTTATTTCTGAATGTAGTAAGCACCAATGCGGTTACTTCAGAAGTAATAATTTTATTAATTACCTATGTTTAGCTACATAAGCAACCTTTAATAAATTACATTCTCTTCTTACCATCTTATTCTTCTCTTATATAATATAAAAATCAATTGTTGAACGTTAGTCGCGTACAAACTCGAAAACGGCTCGAACGATTTTGATTAATTTTTTGTGTGAGTATTTGAGTGGGCCCCTGGATGGTTATAAAACTCAATTGAACCCGGTAGGTGGCGCCTTTGTAGAGATCCAGGAATCACCCGTGCGAAACCAGGGTGGATCGATAGTAATTATATAATTATTAACTAAAAGCTTTTTACATAATTCATTAATATCCTTCTGTTGGTTGTACCTAAATACCTATTGTCACCATTAAAGCGCAGTTTCAACTACTGAATTACAAGTTATCTGCACAGAATACCCAAGTAGGTACTAAATAATACCTATCATAAATTTTTCTTTAATTTTCCATCTTCACGTTCCCGTATCTGGAAGCGTGTTATATGATAAAAAAATTGTACATGTAATTGTGTACACACGCACGAAGTGAAACTTCTTTACGACATATCGTGGTTCGATTATTTTATATTTTACATAAGTGGGATAAAAACACTCATGCAGCCCGGCAGTGAAACGTTACAAGAAAACGTGACGTTTTTTAATTTTAATACCTTACTACTTTACCACTACTTCTTGAACTATTATTATTGTGTTACTACATCAATATAAAAGTTTCACTTCAAAAGAAGCGGAACTTGTAATTACAATGAGTTATATAACCTCAGATGTTTCTAATAGGGAAGTACCAACCACAAAGTTTTCTTTGCTTCGAGAGAAGAATTGGTAAAAGAACACCAACTACTTCCTTTTATTCTCTTCGTTTAAATATCCATGTTATTGACCTTCGAAGTTCCAACCTTCCATCATTGAGAAGTTACAATATAACACACTACTTACCGACTACTTACAAGCTGATACTATTGTGGTTAAGCTTGTGGCGGAATAGTCGGAGTTTTAAAATATTACTTTACATCTTAATAAAGATACTGAGTGCTCAACCAAATAAACTGTTTATGTAGACGCGTGAGACTTGATTTTTCTACGATATTGTAATATAAATCAATTTCTATTAGGTACATATAAGGGTAATTTTTAAGTAGCCGTGGTAGCTCAGATGGTTAACGCTCGTTGTAAATATAAAAGAACGCGAGTAGCCTGGGTTCGATCCCCGCCGGCACCAATGAAATTGTTAAATGCAATTTTAAGTGCTGATTTACCACGTGCTCGGCGGTGAAGGAAAATATCGTGAGGAAACCTGCATGTCTGAGGAATAAGGAAAAAAATATTTCGAAGACATGTGAAGTTCGCCAACACGCATTGGGGCAGCGCGGCGGACACTTCCCTTAAACTTGCCCTAAAACCCTCTCAGAAATGAGGGGAGGCATTTGCCCAGCAGAAGGGTAGGTTTGTTATCATCATCATTACAGCCCTTCACAAGTCCACTGTTGAACATAGGCCCCAAGGAATGCCACAAAGCACGGTTCTAAGCCAGCTGCATCCATCGACTTCCTACACGTCTAACCAGGTTTGTTTTGTAAGTATGTAATAAAATATCTACTACTAAGTAAACTATACTAAATTGTGTAACTACCCACTTTGAACTGTAATAACTACGGTTTGAATTGGAATTCTATTGGTTGTTTAGTGTAAAGAATAAACTATTTCCCCATACAAAACGGAAATCATAGGCAAAATCTTATTTCTAGAGGACTTCAAACTATTTCAAATGTTTGGGTAAAATGTTTAAAATAAAAAAACTTTTAGAACGAATTTCGAACGGCGGCCAATCACAACGCAGGATAGGAGTTTGATGCATGGGTGTGTGCGCAAGCTCAGGCGCCTCTTCGTCAAGTTCTTTTCCGTCACAGGAATAGTCCGATCGGGCGCCAATCTGGCACGACCGGGGAAAGTCAGGTGCAGCAGAGCAGAACCAACGGCTTTACGGACTTTTCAAGATAGTGGGTATAATACCGCTAGTTTTCTGTCTCCGGGGCTGCTAGGTACATGAAAGCCTTTGATAGAAACATACAATAACTGATTTTAGCCCGATTAAGGATTTGAAGCGTGCTCACGATCATTAGACTAACGAAGCAGACAAGAAATCTATAAAGTTTTATAAGGTGATAGAAAAGAGAAGGAAAACCTCTATACGAAGAGTGACGGCCTCAACAAATACTCAGTAGTTATCAGAATTTTTATTACTACGACGGGATAAATTACTCAAACAATTTAGACTTTGAACATAGCCTGTGTTGGGATGTGATTCAAAAGAAAAGCGCGTGGTCATATGAGTCATGTTTCGCAAAAATGTACAAAAAGTGCTGACCGCAGTCGACGGACAACATTCTCAAGACCTTTGTGTTGCTTTCTTTCAATATGTTAAGAAGTATATACTCAAAGAAAAAAATGTTCGACAAATATTTGTTACAAAATAATAGACCTTTTTATGTTTACTGCTTATAAAATTTCTTGCACTATACTGTAGTTCTTGCGTTTTGTCGTAGCTACCAAACTTTTTGGAAGGATTTTATTAATTTTATAAAGGCCGTATTTAGTTTTCGCTGTATTATTGTTTCCAATAACCTTAAGATGCTAGACAAATCCAAAATATATATTTGTGGCTCGAACATATTGTATATCTCTGTAACTTTGTAGTCAATGGTATCGCGTTTGTAGCATATGGTAGAGCGTTGTTCTTACAATTATTGGAGAACGAGCAGTTATTGCACTAAGAGCAGAAAAGATGCACGGTAAAAGTCCATCTGAATGAATACCCTTATTATCTAAAAACAACAGGACTGTTAGTTTTGTAAGATTATTGTTTGTATACACAGGCCAAAGTTAAATATTTTATTCAAAATTGGATTTTACAAAGAAATTTTTAAAAGTCAAAAGCTACGCCAAAGTATTAGTATATGTCCCAAAATGTACCTGCTATTATTGCAATTTTAGTAAATCAAAAAAGGTCCTCCTACAGCGATAATAAATTACTACTTAAAATTCTATAGAGAAATTATATCTTTTAAACGAAAACTAAGTTGAGGGAAATGAGAGCTTGGGCACAGCCGTTAATGACGTCTAATGTGTACTTTTGAAGAGAGACGTGTTGTACCCGTACCGGGCCGAGATTTTTTTATTAATTAACTAGCTAAAATATTTTTGAGGTAAGTACAAAATTATTTCCTTACAGTTTCGAAACTAAACTATTTAAGAGTAAAGTATCTTTATAACCAACCATATCTATCTTTATCAGACCTTCTGGCCTATTTATGCCTGACAAGTAGTAAAGTGTTCTCACATTGTTTTTATTAAGAGATCCAATATAATAACAATCGTTTCATATCCTAGTTCTAAGTGCAAAGTTGCAGTGGTCCATATAATCTGAATCAGCCACTTACGATCAGAAGAACTGCAATTATTTGTTACAATAAAACAAGTATTCAAAAGAATTAAAATGACTGATATCTTGTACTATTTATATTTTTTTTATAGAATGTGGTTGACGAACGAGCGCACTCGATGATAAATGGATACTGTGAACCATAGACATACATTTACAGTTGTGTACACCCACCATACGAAACGCAGCAACATCAAGCTGCTATTTTACGCTGATATTCTGTGAGACCGTGGTCCTCCAGTCAAGTCAACCCATTCGTGCTACAACCATAATAAAGCTAAAAACGTCTCTACCACGTACGAATACAGTTATATTGCAACAGTCAGATTCAAAAATTTAAAATTTTTCATGTTTGCATTTATCGGTACATATTTCAATATAACCATTGTGAAAAAAATGTAACAAGATGTATAATTCCGACTGCAGCTTAGGAGACGTTTCCACAGAACGACGTGAAAAACAATAGCAAGTGTTTAAAATATTTGCCTTACAGTAATAATATGATGTGTTCCTTGCATGCCTCTTTTTATTTTTTTCTGCTAGAATTAATTAGGTACTCGTACTTACAAGCTAAGGTGGTTTGCATCCACAAGGTTAAATTTTGACCTTACTTTTACTATGTTTATCATAGAAATCGTAATAATATTATTACGATTTCTGTGATGTTTATTTAATTTTTGTTTCGTTCAAGAACACAGATTATAGTAATTCAGGTTCATGATCAAAAATCAATTCTCTTAATCAAATTTTAAGTAAGCTTGAAGCATTAAAGAACACTATATACATAATGTTTAAATTTTCATTTAACTTTAAATCTTCTTACTAAATAGATAACTACTAGGTATTAATTTATTTTGTTACATCGCCTATTCTTTCTATGTGATGAGTAAAGTAACA